CACCCAAACCAGTCTGTGATTCTATGATCTTAGAGATGGATGAGCTGCATTGCTGGATATCACTGTGACACACCTTAGGAAATGCTCCCATTGGGATGCTCAGGAGAATATCTTCCCCCGGGGTTGCTTTTTGAGATCCAACTCATCTTTCCCTGCATGGCAGCAGCACAGGAAATAGTAACACGTTGTCTTTTATTCCTTCCTCTCCCAAACCCAGAAGCAAGCCTCCCTGGAGAAGACATTCCCGATGAGAACAAAAGCTGCAACTGCGAGTTTGTGACAGAAGATTTGACGCCAGGACTGAAAGTCAGCATCAGGGCAGTGTGGTAAGAGAGGGAGAGGGGGGAAGCGGTCTGGAAAAATAAATAATAGGGAAAACCAATAAATTTAAAGTCCAAGCAGAGGTGGCAAATGCTGAAATGTCTGTGCTGCAGGCTGTTTTTCCCCTGGGTGGCCTGCCCTCCTTTACAGAAAATTCTGCCAGAAAAGGCAATTTTTGCTGAGGGAAGGAATAAATGGAGAAACAGGAAAATCCCCTGCAGGGATGCATCCAAATGATCATCCTCACCAGCTTTGAGGTATAATGCTGACATTTCCAAAAGCGGTGCAGAGCAGACACTTGCACAGCTGACAGTCCAAGGGACATCGGGAACCCCCCAGTGCAGACAGGGCTTCAGACGCGAGCCCCCGCAATTCCCCTCCACTCCCCTATTGCCAAATCCTCTCCCAAACCCTCAGGGTTGGGATTTGTTCCGTTTTCCTTCCAAAGCAGCGCCCTGCAATGTTATCTGCCACTAAGCAAGCCAGGCTGCATCCCAGGGACTATATTTTGGTTTTTCTCTCTGTCTCCTGCAGCATTATGAGGTTTCTCGTCTCCAAGCGCAAGTTTAAGGAGAGCCTTCGGCCCTACGACGTGATGGATGTCATCGAGCAGTACTCAGCAGGTCACCTGGACATGCTCTCCCGGATTAAAAACCTTCAGGCCAGGCAAGAGACCCCTCTCTTTGCTTCATTTTTTTCACTGCTTTTTTTTTTTTTTTTTTTGTTCATCATGGGGGTATTGCCAGGGGAGACACACCTCCCTTTGCAGCTACAACTTGTTCTTTTTCTTCCTAAGAGAAAGCTTCAAGGAAACCATCGGTGCTTGTGGCTGGAACCCACAGGGATGGGCAGGACAGGGACCACACGCAGAGCAAGGGGGGTTGTGTTATGCTGCTAAAATTGCCGTACTGCCCACCCAAACGTAAACCACAGCTCATCCTCCCACTTTAAATTAGGAGTTTCTCTCGTTGTAGTATATCCCATGGGTAATAAGATGCGTATCTCTGTGGTCCTGGCAGGACAGCAAAGGTTTGGTGCCCCAGTCTTAAGGGTGATGTGGCTCATTTGGGACCTTTCTGGGAGTGATACAAAGAAGAGCTGGTGTGCTGCCTCCACCCATAGCAGCAGGGTCACAACCAGCACACCAGCTCTTATTTTGTGTTATTTTTAGGAGATGAGTTCGTTTGAGTAGGGGAAGAAATGTGAAAAAGGGACAAATGGAACACAGAAGGGCATTTAAAATTTCATTTCCCGCTGTGATCACCCGATTATTTCTCCCACAAAGAGACCCAGATGAATTTGGTCCCCTGACAGAGGATCTGAGCTAAACCTTTCTTGTCTGACCACTCCTCCCCCAGCCCTGATGTCCCACATCAAAAACCGGACCCCAAACCCCCAACACCTCCCCTCTGTGTTGGCTCAGCAGAAGTAGCCCCAGTTCTGCTGAGCTCCAAGAAGACCCAGAATGGAGGCAGGGCTTGGCCATGGGCTATCTCCAGTCAAAATAATATATCATTTACTTTTACACTTGGAGAGTTAAAGTATTGCCTTTGATGGCTGTGGCAGCTCAGCTTCCTCTGGAAGCCATTGGGGAAGTTTTTCTTTAGTTTCAAACCCATCTAAGTCCCTGGTAGAGTAAGCAAATGTGCAAAAAAATGTGTTTGGGTATGCAAGCAGCTGGGTATGAAAAGAGCTAACACGAAAGCCAGGAATGGAATAGGAAAATTGTCTCAGGAAGAAGAGGAATCTCTCTTCTGCCATTCATCTCTCAGAGACCATTTTAACTCTGGTTTTGATGTTCAAGCAGTGGTAACTTTCTCAGCATTTACACTGTGCATTTCCCATTTCCAGAGATGCAGCCAGAAGGTAAATTCTCCCCTGCGATGGAGACTAAAATATCCTGGAGAATTTCCTCTCTTTGAGCCTCTCACCCCCATTCAGTACAAATTCCGTGATGATAGATCCAAGATGAGTAGCTGAATCTGGAGAGAGAAGAGGAGAAGAAGGGGATTTTTATTTCCTAACATTAATAACCTGAAATGTGAGGCCTCCAGGCAGCTCCACAGTGGGCAGGGAGCCTTTGGGGTTGTCATCTCCACTGGCCCCAGGTGGGACACCCAAGTTTTCAACCCTCTGCGTTGGTGTGGCAGATTGCCTCACCAGCCACCCCAGTGTCCCATGGCCGGTCCTTCAAGGTGGTGTGCTGCAAAGACAAAGAGGTTTGGTTAGCTGCTTTTTTTGGAGGGTGGGGTAAGGAATGGCAGCTTTCAAAGACCAAACTGAATTCTCCTCTCAGCTGGACCCCTGGGACGACAAGGCTATCCTCCTCAGTGTGGGGAAGTCAAGAGGACCAGGAGCTGCTTTAAAATTTGAGATCCAGGGCTACCAGGCATCTTCACTGGTTTCACTGTCCCCACTGAGCAGGAGACCAGTGATGGTGATGGGCGCAGACCCGTTTGTGGTCATCTTTCGAAGCACTCATCGTCACAGCCAGGTGGGCACCCAGAGGTCCCATGGCTGGTCATTTCCAGTAGAGATGAAGGACCATCCTCTAGATGAGATGTGTGCCTGGGGTGACCATGGCCAATGTTGGGGCATGACCAACTGTTGCTAGAAGTACAGTGCACCCAGATGGTGGAGCCCAGGGAGGTTGTCATGGGGCAGCTCAGAGGACAACAGATATTTTTATTTCCCTTTCCCTCAGCAATCAAAGCACTGTGTTCCCCCTGCCGGTGCTGCTCAGCAGGGCTGGCTGCGACCTCCCGTAGCCAGGACTTTGAAGGATTAAAGCTGCATTCAACCAAATTTCTGGGGTGTTTACATGCACTTTCCTCTTTAATCATGAATGCCTCTGTCACTGTGGTGTGTCTGTAATGTGCTCTTTTCAGTGTTGTGTTCACACTGTCTCGTGTCTCATCCCGACACCTTGCCAACCATGGATGTCTCCCATTCATTGAGTTACACAATCCCGCAGCGTATCTCGCCGACTCCAACAGCTCGTGCTTCTCTGAGCTAGCTGAGGATGTGTTATCTAGCGCTGGAACTGAAAGGAGAATGAATAGATGTTGTTTCATATCCAGCCACCTCAATGGGGTATTGCTACACATGTGCAAATATATTCCAGAGGGTAAAGCATGTTGCCTATTATATCTGGGGCGGGGGGATCTCCTAATGAGGTTTCAGTGGTGCCTAAATCTCCAAATCTTACCCCAGGATGGGTAAGACTCTGGCTTTCACTGCAACCAGGTGGTAGGACAGAGCCTTCTGTTCCCAGCGGAATATATTTTCAATTTCTCTCTCTTCTTCTCTCTCTCTCTCTGTCCTTCTGTTTTTTTCAGTTGTTTCTTTCTGCAACTTTTCTGACCAACTTTTCTCTACGTGTTGCTTCATTATGCATTTTGCTGGTGTCTTTTTTTCTTATTTACTTTGCCAGGATAGATATGATTGTGGGTCCCCCGCCCCCTTCAACTCCCCGGCATAAGAAGTATCCAACCAAAGGATCCATGTATTCTTCCAAAGAATCTCCCCAATACTCACCTAGGTTAGGATTCACCAAAATGCCGCTTTCTCTGGATTTTTTTCATTTGCTTAATGTCAAACCCCTTTCATGCCAGTTATATGACGGCATTTATCGCTGAGCAGTGCAGCTTGCTAAATCATGCCTCAGAAGGACTTGCTACTCTGGGTGTGCTCTGGTTTAATTTCAGTAATGAACTTTCACACTAGGCAAGCCAAAGGAAAAAAAAAAAAGGGACATCCGTACAGCCATCAATAACCATCAGTTTCTTCAGCTAGTGTATTTTCTATTCCCAGTCTTCTTTCTAGATGTTAGGAAGCCAAATGATATCTTTTAAAAAATCTCATATTTTATCAGGCTGTCTTCAAATGTAAAAGGTGGAATATTTACCCACAAAGCCAACGTAAACTGAACAATCTGCTTTCTAAGAGATGAAACACTCCACATACAAGCTCAGGAGCCTCTGTTTGCAGCTGTTTGTACGAAAAAATGAGTTCGCTTCAGTGGGCAAAGTAAGAATGAAGTGTTTCACACCCGATAAACATAGTGGTCTCTTTTTCTTGCTTATGCAACTCTACCGACCACAGAGGAAAAAAATTGTCTTAAAATATTACAACCACAGGACTCATATTAAAAAAATTAAAAGATCCTGATTTTGCAAGGAAAAAGAAGAGCAGGAGTCAAACCCAGCCCTCAGTCACACAGCGAGATTTTTCTCATTGCCCTTATTAAGTTGTCTCCTTAGGTAACACCGCACCTGACACTGGTGCCATGAGGAATATTTTCATAGAATCATGGAATGGTCTGGGTTGGAAGGGATGTTAAAGATCATCTAGTTCCAACCCCCCTGCCATGAGCAGGGACACCTTCCAGTAGATGAGGTTGCTCAAAGTTGCTCAATATTCTCCCTGAAGTTCCCATCTGAGGGCTTTCTGGGGTCTGGCTAACAGGGCCATGAGCTGAGCTCTATTTTCACCTTGTGTGGAGACCAAAGGAGCCCAAGGCAGGTATAAATATTTGCCAGAAAAAAATTTTCCATGCACAAATATTAGGTGATTTTTAAATGCACCAAGCTTAGCTTCAAATATTTTTTTTTCTAAATATATTTGCCCTCCTTAAGAGCTAATACATGACAAATCTCTTGATTTTTATTTAAGCTGCTCTGAGTAATCTTTACACTAGAGGAATGTGAGTGAAAGGAATATTGAAAGCTTACCTTTTCCCACTCAGCTAGCTCAAAGATTAAAAAAAAAAGGAATTTTCCAGAAGCCCTGAGCTTTATGCATGGAAAAAAGATGCTCTCAGAAAAATGTTTTTCCCATTTCTCATCCCTGCCAAGTGGTAAGACCCAAAACTAGTCTTAAAAAATGAAATAACTTTCTTATCTTCAGCAGCATTTTGATTTAAAAATAAAAGTACATCTTCAAATGGATTTTGTTGTATTTAACCTGTAAGATTAGGTGTGCAACAAGCCTTCATGAGAGGCAAGATTTTCATGTGAAAGCTCGTGCCTTGTACACAGAGAAGGTGATTGAGGGGTATGAGGGGATATTTATTTTATTCACTCCAAATCTGTTGCTATGTCAGCTTAATGGATTTTTTCCCCCTGTTTTTATGGTTTGAAGTACTGATGGAGAGATTAAAAATCTATTTGCACATGCCCACTAGGCTCCTGGGACATTAAGACTTGTTTTTTCCTAGTTGCTCCCTTTTTTAATGAATTTTCTCATTTCTTCTTTCTTGAGCTGTGACTGAGAGGCTCCAGCAAGCAGCAGAGTGCAGAAGGCTGCTGAAATCTCAGCTCCCACCCATTACAAGGCTCACGCTGTGCTGAATTTTCAGCAGCTGCATCCTCCCACGGGCACCAGCGGGACTTGCGAGGTGCTCGATGGATGGGAACCAGAGCTCTGAGCAGCCTCAAGCCCAAATCCCAAGACTCTGGGTCAGGTTCTGCTGCTGACCTTCATCATCTCAGCACCGCGTAGGTCCGTGCCGTGGGGACACATGCTGTGAGGTCCCCATGGGCTCCACCAGCCTCTTTTTTTTAGCCTGCACACCCTTGTTTTAGCCAAATGTTGCCCAGATCATAAGAAAACACTCAGTGAGGGGGGAAAAAACCTGAGCGATGTCCCATGAGCTGTCTGAACCCCAGCATTGTGGTGTTCTCAGTTCAGCCAAAAGTTTTCTGCAAGTAGCTCCCAGCAAAGGCGGCTGGGGACTGGTGGATGTCCACGGCTGTGGTCTGGCTGAAGGTGTTTGCTCCATGCTCTGCACAGACAATCTGGATGAAATTCTTCTGGTCAGCTGATTTAACACAGAATAGGTGCAACCTCAGCTGTAATTTTTAGACAACAGATATTGGTCAAAATACCTCTAGAGCAAACTTTATTGCCACGTGAGGGGGTAAGCAGCCAGTCCTGTGACATGGATGAAGGGGGTTTGGCTTCAATGCCTGGATTGTGTACAAAAAATTAGAAGACATAAAGAAAAAAAAAAAAAAAAAGAAAAGAATTGACTATATATCCCCAAACACTTCATTTTTATCTCATTTGAGCCGTTTGACCTTTTGATGTCTGCTTCTGGCCCGAGGGGGACATATTACACCTCTTTGCATGCACTGTTGGCATGAAGCATAACGAAGCATGAGAAAACCTGCACTGTGGCTGATGCAAGACTTTACATTTTTTTTGTACCATTAGAAAGAAGGAAAGATCTCAAAGTTCATGTTAAAGAGCAACAACCCCCTTTCTCTCTCCCTCCCGAGCTAAGACCCAGCAGAGCCAGTCAAGGACAGCAGGTGGCACAGTTTGTCACCCAGCGTTAGAAATCTCTGAATCCTCTTCTGCCATGAAGGGAAAATCACAGGCTGATTCTTCCCTCTGCACGTGTGCAGTCGACACAGCCAAGACCAGCGTTGGGAAGGCACAAGGCTTCCCGTGGGATGTAGTGCAGAGGGAGGTTTGGCGTGTCGGAAGATTCGCGGTCCCTCGTCTCGCAGTAGGAACATCCACTATCCCCCTCTGCTTGCAAAGGTGGAACGTGTTCTCTCTTCTTCATCTTTTGAGCTTTGCCAAAACCCTAAACTCTTTTCTAATGGCTGAAAGGACCTTCTGCTTGTTGTGTGCTAGGCACAGGTGGGTTGGGAGCTCACGAGGAAATTTCTCCCTTCTTTTGCATCAGACAAGGAACAAAATGAATTTCGGTGCTTTGCTGAGGGTAGGAACACTGTCCCCTGCTCTAACTTGTGCTGTTGGAAGCAAAGGGGTGGGAGACCTCGAGAAGGGCTTGGTTCTCCTTCTTTCTACCCCTCTCTACATGGAAGTCAGTGGTCCACAGCTGCCCGCTGCCCCATGCTAAATTTCTCCCTTCTTTTGCATCAGACAAGGAACAAAATGAATTTCGGTGCTTTGCTGAGGGTAGGAACACTGTCCCCTGCTCTAACTTGTGCTGTTGGAAGCAAAGGGGTGGGAGACCTCGAGAAGGGCTTGGTTCTCCTTCTTTCTACCCCTCTCTACATGGAAGTCAGTGGTCCACAGCTGCCCGCTGCCCCATGCTCCATGCAGACCTCGAGAAGGGCTTGGTTCTCCTTCTTCTGCCCCTCTCTACACAGAGGTCAGTGGTCCACAGCTGCCCACTGCCCCATGCAGACCCTGCCTCTGGGGTGGGAGCTGGCTCTGCAGTTCCTCAGAGCTCTGGGGATGACCCCTGTGGGAGGCAGGACTGTGTTAAATCATAGACGTGGAGGGAATGAATCAAGCAGGAGTTCTGCTGGGTTCTGGTATCCATGGTATATGGGCGAGGGCTTCTGAAAGCTTTATGGATGAGCTCTATGAAGTTCTTCGGTCCTGCTTTTAAATCACAGCAGGTCTACTGGTTGTGTAGACAAGACAACATTTGTTGTGTTCTAAGCTGTGTCCAGCCTGAAGGTGGTGGAAGAAGTCAGTGCTCTCCTATATGACAGTAGTGATCACTCCATCTGGGAAGTGCCGGCTGGCCTCCTGTGTTCCTACAGGTCGTGTGAGGTTCACTTATGGGATAGCTCTTCTCTTAAGAGAGCAGAAGTCTTTCCTCAATTTCTGCAGGATTGGAAATAGTGTTGCACAAGACTCTCTCTGCTATTACGATACACCATGGCATGGCAACGTTCACTTTTCCTCTCTGTGTCACAGTCTGTCCTGCCTCCCTGCTCTGCCCAGCAGCTGTTGATGGGCATCTCGTTTCCATCAGTGGGCACATTTCAGTGCTAGTGCTGTGCTAGGTGGGATACGAGGACAGAACACCCTGATTTTTCTTGGCCTTCTGCAATATCCAGTAATAACCAGACTTAAGGACTCCTTAAACGCATGTCCATTGTTTTACTAGTCTACTTGCTTGTGCATACAGGAGAGGAGTTCGTACAGTGGCTGTACTACGCCTTGACTTGTGAATCCAAACCAAGGTAGCCCGAGGTATCCAATTTAATACCTCTTTGCTTACATGGTAACAACCTTGTCGTAGGATTTCTTGTGCTGTATGTCATGTCAGTAATTGCATCCCTCGTGGGGAGTTCCCATACATGTCGATAATTTCCTTCTCCCATTACAAGGCATGCGTATTCCTCGCATTTGTAATTATAGCACTTGGTGCTCCTTGTGCTCCTGTGCTTATAGCGCTGAGCAAAGGATCAAACACGACTTCTTAAACAGAACGGTATTCTGTCGCATCCCTGCCCAAATGAATTATCTTCTGGGATTAAAATTAAACTCTAAAATAATTGTTGGCTTATATTTTCTGTCTTTGGTGTGATGTGCTCATCCACTTCATCTCTTTGAGCCAGATCTTCTGGTCCTGTAAGCTGTTGCTCTAATACAAGCCAAGGGAGCCACGCTGGTCCGTACCCCCGGGTACCTGTCCCTCAATGTCAACAGCCAACATACGTATTAAGTCCCTGTCAAATGCAGAGAAAACAGATGGCTCTTGTGTTGGAAACAGCCTCACATCTCATTCCTTTCCTTGGTTTTTGTTTGTTTGTTCATTTTCCCCTGTCTGTCTGTGTTCAGCTCCTTCCTTCTCCTCCTCCTGGTGCATGGACCCATGGCCCACATGGCAGAACTGCATAAGAAGCATTTTGAGTTTTCTGCCCAAGATACCTCAACTTGGTTTCAGTCAGATTAATTAACCCTTCTTTTCCCACCGCCACCCTTAACGTTTGGTGCATTATGCAAGAGTAAACTTTGCCTGGCGTAGAATTAGGTCATAAACTGGGCTGCCGTTAGGCAGCTATTCCAAAACGGAGTTGCTCCCCTGATTTCTGGGGGATCAAGGAGCTCCAGTATTTAGTCTCCAAAAAATTTCTAATTTGATGCCTCAAATAAAATTGACTTCCAGCTTTCAAACCAGCTCTACCCTCCTCCTTCCTCCTCATACAGAGCTATGTATCAACCCAGGTGTTGAGACTGGGAAGGAGGACTTGCAAATGTAACGTGTGTAAAGAACTTAGTGGCAAACAACATGGCCAGTAGCTTTCGCTGCTGGTTTGGCAGGAGTGTCTTACTGGCTTGGAGCCCTGCTAATAGAAAGCGTCTAATGATACAGGTGTGAATTGCCGTAGCATTGAGATGAAGACAATTTGGTGATGTTTGGAGATTTATGACCAAATTCAGCCTTGATGTAACTCCACTAAAGCTGTTAGCGCTGCACCTGTTTGTCTGGATCTTAGGGCAAGCAGCTCGTTTTTGTGGGCAGAGAATTACACGCTTGCATTTGCACCGAGGAGAGGAAACTGCTGCAAAGACTGAAAAAAAATCCCATCGACATATGCTAGACAGAAAACTTGATCTTCCCCCAAAATAATAATTTCTCAGTGCAAATAAGAACTTAATGGATTTGGAAGAAAGCCAGTCAAAGAAATTCTTTGCAGCGGGTAAATTTACTGTGCATAATGTGCCAGGTTTTATCTGTATAAACAGAAACGGATAATTTCAAACTCTGCTAATACTGCTAGCGAATTTTGCATCTGAATTAACACTTCAGTGCCACCGCGTGTCTGTGAGTCATTTGGAGTGTTGGTTGGGAGAGAGGTGCGACAAGCAGAGCCCTCCTCGCCTGCTGCCTCCAACTGACTCCAGGTCCTTTTCCGGGGCGGGGGGATTTTCTGATCCTGGTAGAGTTGACCAGATTGTTGGGAGAGGATCCTCCATGACCGACAAGGATCGGACCAAAGGGCCAGCGGAGGGGGAGCTGCCTGAAGACCCCAGCATGATGGGCAGGCTTGGAAAAGTTGAAAAACAGGTATATTGGGTCAGGAGGGGGTTCTTATCAGAGGGTGTTGCATGCATTGTGTTGATTTTTTTCTTGCCTTATTTTTCGCTGGTGGGACATTACCTTTTAGAAAAAAAAAACAAGAGGTAAGAATATTTTTAAAAAGAAACAAGGTGGATGTTATGGAACTGCACTATGTGTCCTAGAAGCCCAAGTATTACTTTCAAAACAGGCACTTTGGAGTCTGTGACATGTAGTCTTTCTTTTTTTAGTGAGTTTGCCAAAAGTCTACGTTATTTTTTAAAATGGCACATTGGTTTCTTTGCCACCAAACTCATGTTTCAAGTGAATCCATGAGCCTGGCTGCTGTAGTTGCTGGCCTTGCTGAAGATGAAAATCTTCCTGGAGGGTAAGGCTCAGAAATCCCTGTGGCCATCTGAGCCCAGGCACACACCAAATGCAGCAAGGAGCTGAAAGCCATGGGATGTGAGTGTGCTGCCTTTCCTGGAATTTGGTGCATGTCAAAAACATTATAAGGAGCTTGAGGAAAACCCTGTAAAAAGGTAGAAAATTAAGATTTATTTTCAGACTAAGACAACTAAATATTTGCTAAAAGTTTTGGTTTGGTTTAGGTCAGTGTAGGCAGAGGTCATCTACGAAGCCCAGGGCCACACTTGTGCCTAGATGGGTTGGAAGTTGTTTCTACTCAGGACGTTCATGTGCTTCAACCTGCACGCAGTGTGTAGCACTGCAACTGTCGTGTTTTGCAGGTTCAGTCGATGGAGAAGAAGCTGGACTTCCTGGTGAACATTTACATGCAGCGGATGGGCATCCCACCAACGGAGACGGAGGCTTATTTTGGGTCCAAAGAACCAGACCCAGCACCTCCCTACCACAGCCCTGAAGACAGCAGGGAGCACATTGACAAGAACGGCTGCATCATCAAGATCATCAGGTCCACCAGCTCCATGGGTCAGAAGAACTTCTCTGCCCCACCAGCCCCGACCAACACATGCCCACCCTCGACGTCATGCCAGCAGCAGGTCTACCAGCGGCAAAGCCATGGCTCCTCGCCCGTCGGAGACCCCGGCTCGCTGGTCCGCATCCCACCTCCGCCCTCCCACGAGCGTTCCTTGTCCGCGTACAGCGGTGGGCACAGGGCGAGCTCAGAGTACCTGAGGAACGAAGACATTACAACCAAACACCACGAGAGTGCCATGAGAGACAGCGACACGTCCATCTCCATCCCCTCGGTAGACCACGAGGAACTGGAGCGTTCTTTCAGTGGCTTTAGCATCTCCCAGTCCAAAGAGAATTTGGACATCCTTAACAACGGTTGCTATGCAGCCGTGGCCAAAATCAGACCCTACATTGCAGAAGGGGAATCAGACACCGATTCTGACCTCTGCACACCCTGCGGTCCTCCTCCCAGGTCGGCCACGGGCGAGGGACCCTTCAGTGACATGGGCTGGTCAGCCCCCAGGCAGTGAAGCCTTCTCACAGCCACCGAGCCACGTCCAAGCACTGGCAGCTTCCCGCTCCAGCTGTCCAGGCGTCGAACTTCTCAAGGAGATTGACAGCTAAGGTTTTCCTCCTTCTAGGACATCCTTAGCTGGTGGATGCTTTCTTGCAGCTTACTCTATGGGGGGGAACGAGCAGGTCCGAGCCTGCACTTGTGGAAGAGGTCACGGTGGTGAGCGAACTGGAGCCGTGAAGTCCGTATTTCTTTCATACTCTCTTTCTAAGATCATTAGGTGAAATTATATCATGGTGCAGGGTAGGCAATTTGCATTTCTTGGGAACCTTCAGAAGTGCAGGGCAGGAATAAATCACCCAGCCAGGGCTTTTGGAGGTCACAATAACTGGTGGTTGACAAGCGTTAGGTGGGAATTGCCACGCCATGGCACTGGTGATGACACCTTTAGGTGTTTTGGAGTTGCAGAATGACCATGGGTCTGTTTCTGGCTTAGATTTCAGGTCACGTGTAATTAGGGGGGGTTGCTGCTCTGTGGTTCCTCATTAACCATCAGGAAGGTGGCATAATTCCAATATAATACATGGAAACATTGCGTAGGCCCCTGGAGGAGAGGGAGGGTGGCTGGAATATTGGCATGAACAGAAGACATGGCCTCAGAGTGGGACAGGTTAGGATACCACTCTGAACCAGAACAGGTTGGAAATGATCCCATTTTAGGAAATTGAAAAACTCAGAAAACTGTAGTGCAAGAAGAGAGACAGCCCATGGGGCAGAGAAATGAGACAGAGAAAGAGGACAAGAAACTGCAGGGCTGCAATTTCATGTTTTAAACCATGTATTATATTTAATTATCTCTCCTCCCGTTGACAACAGACCTGGAGGTGCTTTGGAAGCAAAAGCAAACCAAAGGCAACCCCTCTGGAGGGCTGCCACGGGGTGAAGCCATTCTCGTGGCCGTGCCGTTGTGGAGTCGCAGCCATGCCCGGCCAAAGGGAGGGGGTGGATGTGCAGGATGCTGTGGCCCCCGCGTTGCTGCAAGTGCTGAGCTCCATCCTTCTGAAGTCCTGTTTGTCAGAGCGGGCCCTTTTCTTACGGTTTGCATTGTGCCTGAACACTTTTGCACACACTATGCCCCCGTGAAAATCTTCCCTTTCTTCTGCTGCCCTGCCAAGAGTCTCACACCCACATTCTCGGGACGTCCTTCAGTTTTGTTGGGATCCCTCAAGCTGAGTTAAGAGGTGCTTCTTTGTTTCTTCACAGTATTTTGGAAGCCTCTTACCTGTGCTTGCCCACAAGTTGTGCCAATCCAAGTGTGTCCCATTCCGTTGTTGAAGTGTTTTCTCTTGGAAAGATCTTGGTGTCGTTACAGAGAAACTCAGCAGCCCACTCAAGCTGGGGGAAGGCGAGAGGAAAAGTGATGCTTAAAGTTTCTTTTGGGACCAAAATGAAGTCACAAAGTGATCCTTTACATGGATAGCTTGGTTGGGTTTTTTTGCGAGGGGGTGGGTCAGGAAAAGGGTGTTTGGGATCTGTCTCCAGGGCTGGGACTCCGTGGCCGGTGCTGTGCATCCCGTGCCCTCCCGTGCATCTCCAGCCCAAATCCCGTGCTTGGCTTCTCCTGGGGCTGCGTCTGTGATTTCAAACCCTGTCTCTCCACATTGTCCCTATGTTGTATCAAGAGCCCGTTAAGGATATTTAGATGACAACTTCATTTCTGCGTGGCCTTTGGGGGGTTGAACGTTGACTTGCTCAGGGTGAAGGGAGAATCACAGCTTTTCTCCCTCCTCCTGTTGTCTTGACCAGAGGCAGCAACCAGACCCAGGACAATTTTGGCCTTAGAGGAGATGTGGGTGCAGTCTGAGAGCTTGCAGACAGGAAATAAAACCATCCTTTCGCTAGTGCTCAGGACGAATACGCTGGTCTTCACCTGGGATGGAGGGGTGGGGAAAGGCTCTGCACAATTTTTCCATTTCCAGGAGGGGGAAACTTTTTTCTTAGAGGGAACCTAGGCTTCCAGCCATGCTAGTTCCTTTCTTTCCTATTTGATCCATTTTTTTGTAACCTCCTGCAAATTTTCCCTCTCTGCTTGTGCTCCCAAACTCCTTTTGGCTCCAGATTTCTTTGTGGAAAGTGAACCCAGTGATGCCCTTGACTTCCATGCAGAGAAACCTTCCGTCTTTGAGTGCAAAACGGCTGCAAATTGTGCAGATTTGCCCCATGTCTGTTGCAAAGTGAGGTGCCTTCTGGTAGAGCAAGAAATGTCAGCAGGTCCCAAATCAGACTTGGTGGCACGTGTTTTCTAGTGACCGCAAGAATGGAAATTGCACTGAGGCAAAAATCAACATTGCTCCAGCCAGCTGCACGCTGCAAATTTTGTTCAAGTCAGAGATAACAAAGATTTATTATTTCATTTGTTTGCAATTACTTTTTGAGGCCTGCTGGAAATTTGGCACAGAAGGGTGTGATATAAAGGCAGGAACTCTAGATGAGGATGAGGATGATGTTGTACAGTCCTATTGCAGCACAGGTACATGCCTGGTTTTTAATATAGGAGGCACAATTTTTGCGGGATGTGATTTTCATCGTGTTCTAATTTTGAAGCCCCGTTGAATGTCCATTTCCCGGTTCTTATTGCAAAATCCCCTTCTCCTGCTGGAAGAAAGCAGATACTGCCAAAGCATCCTGGGGAGAAGCAGTTCCACTGTGTCCTCTGACTTTTCCCCAGGCTGAGATCTGACAGTCTTTTACCTTCTTTAGGGACTGCGTAGGAAGAATTGTGTTTTCTCTTTTCAAGTAAGCTGCTACACCAGAGTTTATAAAGATCTCCTGACTCGTAGCTTTAAAAGCTGTTGGATTTGTCCCACAGTCATTGATAACAGAAAATAAGTTTTATATATATGCAGCACAGATTCTATCTTGCTGCTACAAATTTCACATAAAAATTTTTTTGGAAGGTGTGAGAAGTATTCCACCTTGATCTGTGGCATCATTTCCAAGAAATTCTGACACACAGCTCCATCCACAACCATGCCATGAATTGTCAGTTCTCATTCATCCAGGCAAAAAGGCTTGACCTGGATTTTTGGGTTAATTTACACCAAAATTAGCTCCAAATAATGCTTCTTATTTCCATTAAATGATTTATGCCTGCGTGAATGAGAACAGAGCCTGCTCGTTACTTATTGACATCAATAATTTCATTCCTGTCCTAAATCCTAGTCCAAGTCTTCCTGCAGCGTCTTCGTTTTCAATCCCTCGGTTCCCCCATGCCTGTATCACACACTCCTGGTGGTAATCTGCCCAAAATGTCTTAACCACTAGATTAAAAGAAAATAAATTGGGGGTTTTTTTTGCTAATGAGGCAGTCCCAGTGACAAAGACCTAGAAAAGGATGGACAGGCAAACTGTCCCTCTGCTGAGCCTCTCTGGGGCTGGGCTTTGCTCCCCTGCTTCCTCCCAAGTCTGGGTCTGTATTTTCTGGAGGACGGAAACAAGTTCTAGACAATGCCAGGTGTGGACGCAGGGGACCAAGGGGAGCTGCAGAAGATGCGAAAGCCAGATTTCCAGAAGGCCATCCTGAC